GGGGGTTGTAAAAACTAATATAACCCGCAGGTTATATTCGCTAAATTACGGTGTGTACGTGTACATACACACACACACACACACACACACACACACACTTTTTAACCATTTTTATTGTAGCACAAGCACTGTCCAGAGTCACAATGCCAGTGGCAGACTGACTCGCTCACTAGGTTCTTGCCATTTTGATGCCAGACTATTGGGAGTGCCATATAATTAGATGCCAGACTATCGGAGTTTTACTGTGGTTATAAATTTTATAGGACTTTATATAGGAATCTCACATGCTTTATCATTGTCAAGTTATTATCGTTTTTTTTTTCCACAGCAACCCTGTAGATCAGCACATCTGTGGCCATAACAGACCATGCAAATTTGATTACAGATCCCATCAATTGTATTTTCAGATTGGCTAGAGACTTATGAGGTCCAGTGGTAGAAATGCATGAAGAGATCAAATTACACAGTAGCAGACTGACAACAGTGCCATAGTACTATCGTTTGTTGTATTTTTCTGACTGGTACAGCCTACCGCTTTGGGTCAAATTTCATGTTGATCTGTAGTACTGCTCTTTTAGCATTCATTTCAAGCCCATCTAGTCCACTAAAAGCCTTTGCAACTTTAAATGGCGGCAATATTGACATCAATAAATTATTTTATGAACAATACAAGTATAATATAAAAATAAATTATCTAGTCCTTTAGTAGAACAATACTAGGAAAAGCAAACAGCTAGTACTAAGAAAATTGAGCTTTAGGGAAGCATTCTACAACAGGAAGTCAGCAAACTCCCACCAGCAGCTTACTCTGACGAGCCACAAGCCTAAGTTTACCAACACCTGAAATATAAGGTTGGCTTATAAAAAGGTCACACAGTTTTTGCCATTTTAGCCCATCCATCTTGGAGGGTTGGCTTATAAGTGAACAAGCTAATAAAGGAGTATTTATAGTAACTACTACAAGACTTGAACAGTAATTGGGAATTCAGCAACAGAATGATTTTATATTACAGGTTATGTTTCGTTCTAAGGTTGCTGAGCCACCAAAAATGTTTCCTTGAACAGAAATTACTTATGTTAAGCACGCCACTTGTTCTAACTATAGTTGGTAAATTACCATCAATGGACAATAAACATTTCCCAGAAGTTAATTACAATATTAGTAGGTTAGGACTTAGCACATGAAAATATATAGTAGATCTTTTTTGCTTAAATTATGTCTTCTTTAGGAATGCTACAGAGATGTTGCGTCTAACTTTCACAAACAAAGCATACCTTTCTCTTGATTACTGATCAAAACCTGAAGTGCTATGGCAGCTTCCACTTTCACAGGCATTTCCCTATCATCAATCAGACATCGTCTTGTGAGTTCTAGGGCTGTCTGAAGGTTCTGGTCACTCTTAAATTTAACTTCACAGAAATAATGAAGGACCCAGCAAGCCTGCAAAACAAATGCATCTAACAACTTCAGAAAATGGTCATTTTAACAACATCTGTCAGTTCTCCAAAAATAATTAATATTTAATAAATAACTTCTGTAGTAATAATTAACTAAAATACTACCAACTTAAAAATAATTATGTTTGAGAGTTTGGAGGCTGGCCAGTGGTAGGTTTGTCATTTAGACATCACTAGACCAGTACTATGATCTCAAGTTCATCTTTGGCCACAAGTTTTGTGTGAGCGGTACGGTCTAAATGCAAAACACAAATGGACCATACCACCAGACACAGAGGAAAAACTATGCACACAGTACTGCAGCCATGTTAAAATTATATGTTGCTACATCTGAAGAAATTAATACTTTTATAATTAAAACTTGAATGCACCTTATTACAGGAAAGGTGAAAACAGTGAGTCAATTTAAAGCAAGACAATTCAGAAAACAAAACTACAGGCAGTCCCCGGGTTACATGGATCCGACTTACATCGGATCCCTACTTACAAACGGGGTGAGGCAACCCCGCACTAGCTGCTTCCCCCCAGCAGACTAGGGAGACGCGAAGCTAGTGCCCTCTTCCCAGCATACCAGGGAGACGCGGAGCGGCTTTTCTCAGCAGAAACCTCAGCTTGAGAATAAAGGACTGAGAGAAGTGAGGTGTGGGAGAATAAAACTGAGCTCTGGAGAAATGGTTGGCTAGAATTTCCCCTACAAAATGTACCAGTTCCGACTTACAGACAAATTCAACTTAAGAACAAACCTACAGTCCCTATCTTGTACGTAACCCGGGGACTGCCTGTATTCAATTGTAGATCATGATGTGAACAAAGTAAACCATATACACTCTTACCCGTGCTCTCATATAGCCCAGCTCACTGCTGAAGAGAGGAAACACATGATTCTGCAACATGTACTCCATCTGATCTTTGTATATCTTCTTCTGCAAGAACATTAAGACAATTACATCAGTTGGTGTTTTTAAAGAGACAAAAATGAGAGGAAAAAATAGAATTGTTAATCTTATTTTATACATAAAAGTGTAAATAGATAGTATGATGGCTTAACATGGCTTCTTTAGCAAAAGAAAACAAAGACTTTTCTGTCTTGGATGCAACTGATGAAGTGAGTTCCAGACCACAAAAGCTTTTGCCAAAATAAATTAGCCACAGAACTCCTTGCTGTTTTTGACTGACACAGACTAACAGGGGTACATCTCTGAAAAAGCTTTTTGTCCTTCTTAGCATACCACAGCACAAAATGACAGAGCGCAAATAGGTATCAACCAAAAAAAATTAGGAGGATCCTACATGTTCAAGACTGACTAGGACAGTCATGGTACAATTTCTTTTTTTATTATCTATTATCTCTGGATCACTAAGGCTTCTTTATTTTGCATTTTCTCTCTCTCTTTGACACCAAAGACAAACTACTTATGACAAGGAAGAAAGGGCAACCATCTCAAAATATGTTTATAACAGATCCATCTTAAGAGAAATCAGCTTCGTCCAAGCCATCCTCAGCTATCATAAGCAAACAAGGTTGCTAAACCCGCTACACAAAAAGTTGTCTACAAGAAAATGACCTATCAGCAGGCACTCTGATCAAACAAATTTTGTGACATGAACCACCAGGAATTTGGCTATCAAGTGGAATTGAAGAACCTGCTAATCTCCATTCTAAATATTGGGTTGGGTAAAGAGATGAGTAGAAAAGTAGAAGGAAATAAAACTTTAAGATCCTCTAGAAATCAGTGCACTTACTTTTAGGAGAATTTCAGCCAAAGAACCAATCATATGTAGAGCACCATCTTTCTTACGAGGATCAGCATTTGGCTCTGTGAGGATCTGATAACAAAAGCCCATGGTTTTCTGCAGGACCTAGTTTGATAAGGACTTTTTGTTAGTAAAAATACTTCAGACAGTCTTCTAAAGTACCACTCTCAAATCTCTACAAGGGTCAAATTGTTAAAATCTATTTCATTTTTTCTTCAAAAGACTGAATTTAGGCAGCACTTTATACTATCACTCATGTTGATGTATAATTTCCGGTTGCATTAGCAAATATGTCTATCCAGCCTCAAGTAGTAAATTCATACCAAGACATAAGTACCCGCCCCTGCCAAAAAAAGCCTTCTAAAAATGATGGGATTATTGTGGGCATTGTGATTCCTAGATATTAAGCAGGAAGATTTACAACTACCTTGGTAATAGATTCTTATATTTTGTTTCAAATCTCAGCAAGTTGTATAGAAAATATCTAATAATAGTATTTGATCTGCTGATCTGTTAAGTCCAAAGGTAATCCTTAATTAGCTTACCTCTTTTCTTTTACTACATGCTGTAAATAGCAATGTCTGAGCAGCAGTTGTAGGAGAAATGAAGTCTTCAAACACATCTATTAAATAAATTGAATAGGCTATAAATTTTTGTCCTTTAATACAGTTCATAATGCAAAAATAATTTAAGGATCTAATGTAAAATAAGAGCAACAGTACTCAAATTTATGCCACTACACTGTGCCTTGATATTGAAAGCATTTCAATGCAGAGCTCACATAAGAAAAATAAACTTTGAAATGACAAGATGAGATGTTTTGAGTTTTCTGGCAAACACCCTTTGTTAGTGTTAGGCCAACATTTGTGATTGGAAGATCCCAGGGGACAGGACCTTCTCATATCTGCAAAAGGTCTTACATGAATTACACTGGGAAAATATTTTCAGTTGTTGCAATAAGCAGGCAAAACTGGGAGAACTGAAAACAAAGTTTTTTATTCTTTTCCTGCACAACCTTCTTCAGAGGCTTTCAGAACTTTTGAAAATAGCCACTTGTTTATATTTTGAGATTTAGCTCCTACCGACAAAGAATATCCCATTGGGATTTTAAGCAGCCTAAAGCCCTAAGTGTACCAAAAAGCCTTTCAGAAAGGTTCAGTTCTTTCACTTTCATACCCCTCTTGAACAGGCTACAAAGACTTTTAGAACACTTCAAAAATCTGAAACGAATAGCCAGTGGAAATTCACATGAAATGAACAGAATACCTAAGACTTCCATGGCTATTTTAGCTTCTATATATATATATATATATATATATATATAGATACACCTATTTTGAATTATGCCTTGT